CGTCTCGTAACCCTTGCCCAGCATCTGCTCCTTGATGCAGGGCGGCCGGATGTCGTTGATGAGGTACTCCAGCGACTGCAGGCTGCTGCTCAGCACCGACGTGTTGCACATGCTCTTGCTAGGCAGGCCTGCCAGGGTGTCCGCCGGAGGCCCCGTCAGCTCCCGGGTGGCTCCCGGGCCCAGCTCAGTCACTGCCACTGCCGCCGCCCCCGCGGGGTTGTAGCAGTCGCTGGTGGGGGTCACCAGCACACTGTTCCAGGGGGCAGCAAAGTACTGGCCCACAGTGAAGCTGGCCGGCAGCCCCACGCTACAGTTGAGGGGCGACACGCTGGCCCGTTCGTAGGCCCTGCTGCCACAGGCCTCTGGGGACTTGCTGGCCACCGTGCCACTGCTGTAAGTGCGCAGTGGCTGGGGTGGTGGCGGCGGTGGCTTCTGCGGCCACAGCAGGTAATCCAGGCCACTCTCCGTGTACCCTGCAGGCTTGGTGGCCCCAGCTAGTGTCAGGGCTGTGGTGGCTCCGGGACCCAGCTCTGTGCCCTTCCGGCAATCGGGCAGGCCGGCTGTGGCTGAGTAGGCCATGCTGGGGAAGCTGGGCACAGGGCCATGCTTGGCCGGGCTGGGGGGTGGAACAGCCACGGCCTGGCAGGCAGCGGGTGCAGCGCCTGGGGCCTGGCACTGCATTGGCCGGGCTGGGGTGGGGAACAGCCACGGCCTGCCAGGCAGCGGGTGCAGCGCCTGGGGCCTGGCACTGCTGGTTGAGCTGGTAGAGGATACTGTGGATGGAAGGCAGGTTAGAGGGCGGCAGGGGCAGGCCACGGCCTGGCAAGGGGATGACGGAGGCGGCAGTGGCGGCTGCGGGCAGGCTGGGTGGTGGGGCAGGCACCTCGGGTGGCTTGGGGTAGGCCAAAGGTCCCAGGGTGCTGGGCGCTGGGTAGGGCGCGATGCCCACCTGCACGGTGGCCGGTGACAGCTTGGTCCGCTTACCCTCAGCGTTCTTGAGCACGCTTTTGGCGGGTCCAGTGGGGGCGGCCGCACTGGAGGAGGAGACAGCGGCCTTGACAATGGCCAGCAGCCCCTGGTAGCCAGCGGCGTGCTGTGGGTAGGGGCTGTAGCGCTGGCCGCTGGTGTCATAGCCGTTGATGGTGCGGCTGAGGTGCTTGTGCTGGGGCACGCGGATGTTGGTGGGGAAGATCTTGATGGACAGAGGGCTGTTGGCCACCTTCTCGGCATAGGCATCCAGCTCGGCTGGGCTCGGGTAGCGGGAGGAGTGCATGGAGCTGGCTGCCGTCTCGCCTGTGGTACAGAGGCACTGGTGAGCGCCGACCCAGTGACTCAGCAAGGCCCCAAGGCCTCTGCTGCCTACGAAAGCTCAGCTCGCAGAGCTGCTCCGCTCTCTTCCCTCACATGCTTGCTTTCATCCCTCCTCTGTTCCTTCCAGGCTTGTTTGGAATTGGACATTGAACCCAGGACCTTTGCACTGAGCTACATCCCAACCCTTTTAAAATTTATTTTGAGATAGGGTCTTCCTAAGTCATTAAGTTGCCCAGGATGGGCTGGAACTTGTGACTCTCCTGCCCCAGTTTCCCATAGTGCTGCGATTGTAGGTGTGCACCATCACCCCCAGCCTTTCCAGATTTTTAAGCTTTGGATCAGAGTGTAAAATACAGAACTTGTACACATCAGAAGCCTGGGAAACTTTCATAAAAGGACATAGCTGGGTGGAGAGACAGGGCACTGCCAGTCCCTCAGAGGGTCCCCGTTCCCCTCCCAGTCCGCAGCCGTGTCCCAGTTCACCGCTATCCCGACTTCTAACAACAGGCCTGGCTGTGCCTTGTTGTGTGTGGCGAGATGTAGGCCTGTGTCACATACCCTGCCACAGAGGTTCGTCCAGGTTGGGACCTGTGCAGTCAGTGAGCACCCTCTGTCCCGCCACAGTGCCCCTCCCTGGTGAGGGACTCAGCAGGACAGGAGCAGCAGGGAGGGAAGCGGGCGGGTGGCATCTCACGTCCCTCCTGCCTACTCTGGACTAAGGCAGGTGAGCGCACCGTGGGCCTCCCTTCTGACCCTGCCCACGGCAGCCCCTCCTGAGTGGCCTAAAATAAACTCGGTGTGGAGAATGGAAATGTCACTTTGGCCAACGGGGGAATCTTTCTCCGAGATTGGATTTAAACTACATTATACAAGCAATTTCATGGGCACTTAGAGCCGCTCGGAGAGTCCCGCAAAAAAGGGACCGGCTCTTCATTTGCCAGCCATAAATCAGCAGTTGCTATAATGAGCACAAAAATGTCACTTTTATGCAATTTTACAGATGAACAAAACTGGTGAAATTAGCTGTGGTAACCTACTAGAGTCAGCAAAAGCAGCTGCCGGGGAAAAAATTATATCTGTATGTATTTTCGTTCCTCTTAAACTCTCTTCCCAAGCAAGTTTCTGCCATTGTGGTGTGAAAACTCATTTGTCCTCACCATTATACTTTCATTTGGAGTTTATCTTGAGTATCCAATGAGCCACCAACTGTGAAAATGATTAAATCTACAAAATCTATCTAATGGATGGAATAAATTAGGTGTTTAAAATCTTAAGGGGAGGGGCAGAACAATGCCTGTTTCCAGTCCCTGTTTTTGAAGGATGGGGCGTCTGGCCCCCGTTTGGTCAGAGAGGCTCCTCTAGGGTGGTGTGGTCCCTCCAGCTTTCGTGGGAGTTGGTGGTGACACCAGAAGACTGACGCCATTTGGGGAGCACTTCGTAGGTGTCGGGCTCTGTGCCCGACACTTTTCTCAGTGGCTTTCATTTGGAGAGCGGCAGTTCTGAGAAATAGGGATAGTCCCAAGTCACAGAGGAGGAGCAGACTGAGGCACTTAGCAGCCAGCCTCCGACACCTGCCACCCCGGGAGATTCTTCCTTCCCGGGTTTCACACCCACGGGCCATCCTGGTGACCCACACCACCCCAACCCTGGCTGAGCTGTGTAGCCAGTTAAGACTCTCAGGAGGTAAAAGAGCAGGCTTCTGGAACCTGGTCTCACGAACAGGGTGGCTGCCTGGTGCCTCTCAGATCTCTTGCTGCTGCCATGTGGGAACAGTAGAGCAGCTCTTGGAGCAAGAGACCCCTCGCAGATGACGGAGGCTCCAGCCAGCAGCTGCGTGAGCCTTACTGCAAGTAGATCCTCCAGCCCTGGCCAGGCCTCCAGGTGAGACCACACCTCCTGAGACCCGGATCTGAGCTGGGCTGTGCCCAGTCTCCTGAGCCATTCAGAGCAGCAGGGACTAAATGATCAAAGCCATTTCAGGCTGCAGAGTTTTGAGTCACTGGTGATACAGCAAGAGATGACCCACGCAGGTCCGTTTCACAGATGAAGAAAGGGAGTTGATCTTACCAGGAGTACATGGGGAGAGTTGGAGTCTGATGTTCTTGTCACCCCACTCCACACAGGACCCATGGGGGTCAGGGGACTCCTGAGGCTCTCATTCTTCTGCAGAATTAGGCCGGCTGCCCTTAGGAGAGACCATACTTGGCCCATGGGCTTGAGGGGGCTCGGGGTGACCTGCTTGTGGCTATCATGGCTGCCCTGGCCTCTGCCCGGCCCTGAGCTGAGTCTCACCTGGAGCTGTGCTTGCCAGGGCTCTCTGTGTTCCTTGGTGTTTGTCATACGGGAAACTTCAAGTGGGCATGGGCCTGCAGGCCACCAGAGTCACTAGTCTCAAATCTGCCCTGATTTTGGGGCCCTGGGAGCTTTTGGGAAGGCAGCCCCACCCTACCCTGTGCCCTGGAGGACTTTCTCCTGGGCTGCCCCTGGGTGCCTCGATGCAGCCTGTGCCACCAGAGTACAGTGGAGGTAAATGGGGACCCAGGCCACCCTGTCTCCAGCCTGGTGGATGTGTCAGACCCTCCCGAGGAGGGACCTAGCGAAGAGCGTCCAGTGCCGTCACAGTCCAGCTGGGTAAGTGGGAGGGAGCAAGAAAAGGCCTCATGGAGGGACTGGGGAGCCAGCTGTCGGGCAGGCTCCTGAGCAGTGGGGAAGCTGGGGCTCAAGTGGGGTGGGGGAGGGGACCCCAGGATCCTGCCTTCATTCCTCCAGCTGGCCTCTGGGTCCCCACAGGAGTCCCCGGCAGGTGCTGGGCCTCACTGCCACACACCCACTGCAGACTGACTGCCGTTGGCTGGTCTTCCTCGCCCACCAGACTGGGGCTCCCGGAGCTGGCTTGTGTGCTGCCGTCCCCCCAGGACACACAGTGGCAACGCTGTGGTCAGCTGGACTGTCCAGCCTAGGAGTAAGGGCACGGGAGTAAAGTCCCAGCATCGGCCATCCTGAGCCTTGGCGATCCCTGCCCGTGGAGCGCCGCCACTGTGGCACAGGAGGCAGGCAGCAGCGAGCCCCAGGACCAGACGGTTTCAAAACGTGCTCGGAAATTCTTTGACGTGGCTCCCACCAACAGCAGAGCCTAATTTTCTTCACTTCATCATTGAACTGGCTTTGTGACTCCTGTCCGTTGAGCAGGGTGTCTTTCGTGGTGGGGTGTAACAGAGCGGCTGCCTGGAGAGCTGTGGACACCCCTCCTGGAGGCCAGCCGAGGGGAGAGGCGTCACGTGCACACACTGGCTGACAGCGAGTTCAGGTCGCATTCACCCCACCCCCAGGGACGTCTGGGAGGAGAGCCGCTGTCCCTGCTGTGCCCTGTCTATTGCTGAGTGTTGCGAATGCCATCGGACCCCAGAGTTTGGGATGATTTGATATGCTGGCACAAGGACCGGAAGGCAGGCTGCGGGGGGCATGGTGGAGGAGGGCGGGCACCTGGTTTAGACTCATGGTTGGCATAAGGCTCCTCTGGGAAGGTGGCCTTGGCGTGTGAGGGGCACAGGGTCAGAGGAGCCCCCTGGGGATCTGGTGAAAGTGCAGAGTCGCGGATGGCACATCGCAGAGGTGGCGGGTGTGAAGTGCTGTTCAAACCAGCCCCTTGGTGGCTCCCCTTCCCTCTCCGAGATGGCAGAACCAAGACGGGGGGCCCAAATGCCAACAGGGGTCTGCCCTGTCCCCACCCCGTCCCCACCCCGCTGCTCTCCTGCCCCTCCTGGTCTCAGCTGAGATGTTCCCTGCCGTGACACCTGTGCTGTGGCTGTCTCTCCATCTGTCCCCTGGGCGAGAGTCCTTGACTTTTGTGGGCACCGCCATCTAAGTGCACTTGGAGTGCTGCTTCCTGGGCCAGAGAAGGTCCTGCTCGGGGTGCCTGGAGGCTGCAGCTGCCAGACAGAACAGGCCTGGAGTGTGCAGAAACCAAGGTGCCTCTGTGAACTAGGCCGCCCCTTCCCTGCTCCATCCCCGCCCACCGTGGCCCCATTAAAAGCTTGTTGGGGAAATTTAAAAGCCTGGCTGGAAGTGCTGGGTACATCGTTGCTGCCATTAAGTTAATGTTATGGGCCTTTTACAGGTGCGTTAAATAGACGCGGTTATTAACGAGTATATTAAGCCAATTAAAACCAGCCCTTTGAGTGGGATTTAATGTTGCCGCAGGGATACACGAAAGCCGTCCTCTGCTGCACTGCTGCCTTCCAGAAGGGGGGCGGCCGGGATGGGGGCGCCACTGTGGAGCTCACAGGGCAGCGAGAAGCTGACACATGGCTGCAGTCAGGTTGCAGGGGTCTGATGTGCAGCTCTGCCACTCGTGGGTGACTTGTGTGCAGGGCACTTAATGTGAGCCTCAAGGTCCTGTCAGTCACAGGGCAGAGTCAGGGTGGAGCTCGAGGCCTTGTAAAGCTCAAGGCACTTCCTCATCATGGGAACCAGGGTGGATGTGGCCCGGAGTGCTTGGTCCCATGCTCCAGGATTCCCAGGCATCCAGCGGGGAGACAGGCCAGTCTGTCAAGGGGAAGGACGGTCAGGGACATGACCCCGTTTGTCGAGCCCTCTGTACCCTGTGGGCTCCATTCCGAGGCTGGCTCTGTGACAGTTAAGTAGACTGAGGCCTGAAGAGAGCATGCTGCCTGCCCAATGTCCTGGTGTTGGAATGGGAGCTGCAGGCATGGCAGCCACATGCTCCTGCTGACACCTGGGGGTCCCCTTGGAGATGGCAGGTTTTGGGGTGAATGGAACTTTCCCAGAGGAGGGGAAGAATGACAGCAGGTGCTGGCAGATGTTTTTTATGCTGTTGCGGCTTCTACTGCCTCCTCCTGGAAGGCTCAGGAAGTCCCAGTGGGCATTATCTGGGTTGTAGTGAGGAGCGAGGAGGGTCCAGGGCTTCAGGACAGACCCTCCTGGCCCCACAGGGAGGAGCAGCCTCACAACTGCATTCCCCT